GGCTTGTTTCGAAGAGGTTTCAGTTCCGTACTGAAATTAGGGCAATGCATGATCTCATCAAAATTATGTGAAGGAGGAATAGTTCCAAGTACTGAAGCAGCATTGCCACGTTGAATAGCAATACTAATTCTTTCTAACAAAAAAGAGGTAGAACGGTGATCTTTCGTTGCTTGGCCTATTCTCCTTCCGAGTTCATGAACGAATAACAGAGACTCCGGGCCATAAACATCAAAAGTTTCAACCGCTACTAGATGAAACAGATTTTTCCAAAAAATACCAAGAATTTGGTATTTTTTCCTTTTCAATTTCTCGCCAGACAATGCTGCAGTTCCAGCAGACTTGGAACTTTCGGCTAGATGAGAAGCCGCGACCGTGTCAACGCAAGTCCCATACCACAGGTTTACCGTATTTCCATGGTATGAGAGACATGCCATCTGGTCGTTTACCATCATCTCGACTGGTACCTGAGGGTTCCAGAATCGCAGGAACATCCGCTGACAACATAGCTCGTTTCAATATGTCGTTCACTTGGTGATTTCGAGATATACGCTCTGCACTTCTCCTGCAACTCAAACCATGTGTACCTTTCTCATCAACTATACTACCGCAAGGATTATTATCAGATTTGTGTTATTTATCATGCTTGAAGTCTTGTGTTTGGAAACACCCTACATTTTGTTTTAAGAAAGAGAGGGCATTGACAGATCAAGATCTTCATTTCATGTGGTGCTGCAGGTTTTTCCGGGTTTTCCTGCAGCTGAAAAAGCAAATGCGCCACTGGAATCAATGAAGTTGCTCCGGAGCGCCAATTAATTTTTGTTGTTTCATAATTTGTATTACTTTCTTCTTTTACAGTTTCAAAGTTATATTAATTTTGTAGTTTATACATCGAGTGGTCCATGCAACTTTTATAGCACATAATTTTCAAAAGTACAATAATATTATTACTGGAGTTTTTTCCCAACACCAAATCGTTATTTTTAACACCTCGACACGTGTTTCGATCACCAAGTGATCATCTTCAAAGAGGGAGATTGAAACTGGTACAACTGGTAAGAAATCAAAAAAAATATATATTCAATAATTTCAAATGTATGATTGGTTTTGTAATTTTTAGCAGTTTAAGAAAAAATATATCACAGTTGAGAATTTATAACAAATTGTTTAGTTAATGAAAATCAAAATTATTATTAAAAATTTGTTATTGTTAATTTTTAGGGAAATCTCAATATTAATTTTAAAAATATAAAACATTTCTTGAATAATTATTTGAACGTTTGAAATATAGAAACAATATTATATATTGAAATATTATAAACAATCAAAAATTGCTACTGATTTTTTTTCTCAAAATCATATTATGAAAACAAATTATTTTAA